TGTAAAGGTCTAAAATAGTTCCACTATATAGAAAAATACTGTGAATGGTATTATGGGAGGTGCATTTTGAGTATTTCTTTTGCAGTATGGATATCTGTGCTTAACGATTCGTATTTACATCCTTATTTCGGCTCTGCAGGATTGATATATTTTGTTTATAGTAAAACATTGAATTAAAAAATTATGAAATTAGATTATTTTTTAAAATTTGATAATAAACGTTTGAAATACTTCATGTATTTATTTTAATAAAATTATTATATTTAGATATTTTATAGTCAGATTTTATTTGGAGTATATGAAATTTTTGAATAATCTTACAACTTTCTTTTTCAAAAAATATGATGGTGATAGGGTAATCAATATATAGTTGTTCGTGCGGTATTGTATTATATAATTGTAACTGACAATGCGTATTGTTATTATGTAATTGTGTCTTTTGTTTGCTGAAACACAATATTTTTTTTCACACGAGTCATTTTACTTCCAATATACGATTCAATTTATTTTTGTTTTTCTTTCTCTTTTGTTTTGGTTAATTATTGGCATTTTCAAAATTATCTTTTCCCGGCATGCCTTTTTTATAATATTGAAATAGTATTATTTTTTAGTAAGCTGCTAATTGGATATATCGTGGCTAAATTTGGGTCTATTTGTAATGTGTGTTTTTATAGATTATGATTACGACTATTACGGTTATGGGGATTATCGAGGTGGCTACAGTGATCCCTATTACGATGACTATTATCGATACGAAGATTACTATTTCGATTATGCACCGCCTCCGCCGCCTGCCAGAGGGAGAGGCAGGCAGCCTCAACCGGTGGGTCGCCTTTTTTCATGGTTCTAAAATGTCATTTTTGTTTCTGAAATTATGTATAATTATATTTTTATATATATATTAGCGGTAGTTTGACTGTGGCACAGTGTTCGCGGATTCTCCTAATTTTATACATGTTTCCAATTTACTTTTGTCCAAATCACTCTCTGCCTATATATTTTCTTTACCTGAGCGTGCAAATTAACGCTGACTAACTGGCTATGCAATAGTTTATTATGATTATTATTAATGTGCAACGGAATTATACATTTTTAATGTATAGATTTCATAATATTGTTAAATGCACCGCATTCACAGTATACGAATGATAGCACTCATCCGAGCTTTAGAGTTTTACAATGGATTTTGAGACAGAGAGAGAGAGAGAGAGAAAGAAAGAACGAGTGAGGGAGTGAGTGAATGAATGAGTGAGTGAGTGAGTGAGTGAGTGAGTGAGTAAGTAAGTAAGTGAATGAATACGAATGAATGCTGTTTAAAGTACACTGTGATGCATTGTATTTATGTAGAAATCCACACTTACCCACACGCATGTACACACACGCACGCACGCACAAATTCTAATATGTATGCTATACTGATTAACGCCAACGCTTTGATACTAAGGTTACCCTTTAATCCGAACACGTTGCCACTTTCAAATTGCTTGCAAATCATATCTGAGCCATGGTAGACCCATTCTAAATTTTCAAGCAAGATACAGCCGGGAAAAGCAATTTATCAATCAAAAAGAAAAAAAAAAGAAAAGAGAAAAACATGTAGAATAAAAATGAAAGTTTTAAATTACCCGAAGATTCTCTGAAGGAAGAAGATAGCACAGTTTTATATTGTTGCAGGATTTCCTAATCTTACTTTTCTTTCACTGCTACTCTAGCACAGTTTCAGGAAAACTCCAGACGTAGGCAGAAAGCAGCATACAGGACTTTCTCTCTCTCACTTAATCATTCACACAAACACACAGATATGTACATGTATATATACATATATACATATATATGTATATATGTATATATATATACATATATATAATGCCCATATACGAGCAATTCACTGTTTTTTCTTCCTGTAGAGCGACGTTGCGTCTCGTGGCTCGGATATGATATACTTTTTCTATATCAAGTTACAGGGTTATCCAAATATGACGTAGGAGAGTGTATGGGTGCAAGGCGCAAAATTTTTTTACCGTTTTATTTTTACCATATTTTTACATTGCGATCAACTTTCTCTCTTGTTAATGTTTCATTATTATAATACACATTATATATTTAATTTTATTATATGTTATATCCAACGCTGTTATGTTTCCCGTGCCATGATATGATATATACGACGTAGTTGATCGTCGCTTTAGAGGAAAGACAAACAAAAAGAACCTTTTTCAAATTGTCAAAATGTTTTTATACATTATCTTGTATCTTGTTTTGACAACTATTTGTCGAAGTTGCTTTTTTATAATCTATTTTTGACATATTGCCGATTATATTCGACGATCGCGTTCGTTTTTTCAGAAAGTATATATATAGATCAATTTTTTCCAAATATATTTTTAACGATCCATTTTTATGTTGCCTAAAACTCGCACGATGTGGTTTTATCCACGTAATATGTTCTTTCTATATGTATTCTTCGACTTTTTTTCTCGCGATTTTTTGTTAAATAATCTATGTCTTTTTTGCTTTACAATCCGTATATTATTATCGATTTTTTTCCTAATAAAAAATAGAGACAATTTTTCTCTTATTTCAACAAATTTTGTCAAATGTGTCATTTAAATTTGAATAAAAAATGTAAACTATAATATAGGATATCTCACTCAGCATGACTATTCAAAATATCTGTTGTTTTTAATAATACAGGAAAATCTTTTAAGAAGAAATACGGTTTGTGAAAGAAGTATATTTTGATTTAAAAGGACATCAATAACACAAATAATGAAATCATATACTTATTATTAACATGAGGTTGTAGCAGACATCGAAAAAAATTCAAGAGATCAGTAATTGTAAGATATAATAACATGTCCTACAAATAATCTTGAATACGAAATTTAAAGCAGATTTTCTCAAGGGATTTTAATAATTTTACGAAATTAATAAATTTATTATTAGTTTTTACTAATTTACTATTTAATTAAAAATGTTTAAGTGATTACTACTTGCATTAATACATTTTCGTATTCGATAAATAAATGATTTATTTGTTTTTCGCACAATCTCTTTGTGACCTTTTCTTCGCGATACTGATTAGTTTTTTTGCTGTGCTTATTTCAAGCAGTTGTTATTGCCAAAATCGCGTATTTTGACAGTTCGAAGAAAGTTAATAGTAATGTGATATTTTTAGTTTGATACATTGTTTTTGAAAAATAAAGAAAATGTAATATATATTTTTGTCGACTTTGCAACAATATATTGAACAGCGGTTATTGCAGAGATTGTGTATTTTGACAGAGTTTAAATTTTCAAGAGCTTGAATTGAATAATTCTAGTTGATTTTGTGTTGGATATAAATTTTAAATTAAGTTCGTCTTGAAAACATGAAAAAGTCAAGCTTATTTTGAATTAATTGTTTTAAAGTATGCAATGCCGTAGATTAAATGACATTATGTTTTAATGGATTGATATACTTTTATTTCATGGGGTTATACTATAATCGGCAAAAATATATATTTTTTTTAAATTTTGGGATTTATTAAATAATATTTTATTTTAAGAAAAAATAAAAGGCATGTGTAACACGCTTTACAATATTCTAGTCATTAAAAACAAGATATTTTGGATGATCATGTTAGGCGGCATATCTTACATACTATCTGATTCAATGTTTTGGAAGTATTTACTGCTTTTTTGTACAGATATTATTAAATGTACAATATAAAAATTCAAACAATCGCGTATGCATCATTGTATCTTTTTTTAATTCAATATTTTACACGAGTATGGGAGTACATCTGTTTAGAAAGTACAGATATATTCGCATGTTGTTATTATATTTATATATCTTATATTTTACATTTATATAGATAAATAATTATTTAATCCGTGCGTGGAGCACGATACACACACGCCTATACACACGCCTATACACATACACGCACGCACGCGTGCGCGCATATACTTATAACTCAACTTAATGTGTTATGATTTGCTTAAAACAGGAGGAAAAGTTTGTCGCAAGTTATAAATAACAATGTCTGAATTGAGAGATGATGCCATGTGAATACAATTTATTCACAAATGATTTATTGTACATGTATTACCTGATTAATTATGCTTTATTATCATTTGTAAATTATTGTGAATTGTGTATAGGTGTGATAAAGACCACGAAGATAGATGACGGAATAGAAAGGATTGTGTCCCTCGTATATAGCACCAGTAAACACATCTCACAACTCTTGCTTTGGCTCTCGCCGTCCCCACACCCATGTATATAAAATAATATCATAGCTTCCGTGCTTAAACCAGATTTTTTTTTTATCGCTTAATAATGTGTTGCGCCACTTATTTATATAATATGCCTTTTGGTTGAATTTTGTTTTAGCTACCAGTGCAATAGCTTGTGTCGCTTAAAAGTTCCTACGCCAACCAATCAGTTCGCTTTTCGCTTTACTACATTGGATAACTCTGCTAACTCCTACTGCTGTATGTAAAAACGTGGTTAGTAAAGATTTGGTTACAGGATCTATCTCGTCTGCCGCGTTCTTCCTTTTCGCTTTCTTTTTTTTTTGCTTTATCTTTTCCGCTTTATTTTTTTGTCTTTTTTTGTCCTTTCTCTCTCTCTCTCTTCTCCTTCCTTTTCCTTTATTCATTATATTTTTTTTCTCTGTTACTAATCTCTTCTCACGCTATGTTCATGATGTATATATAAAAGCCTTGTATGTACATATATGTACATCTCTAAAATGTGAAATACGCATATATGTGTAGAAAATTTTCCGATCAGCGATATATCGATTAATTTTTTTATTTTTATTATACGTTAATACACGTTAATATAATCATTAACTACGTCTTTAAGGGCCACTACTGCGAAATATAATCCTAATTACACATAGGACAGAGGAAATAATAAGAAAAGAATGAAAGATAATTGAAACGCAGATATATGCAAACAATTATGTAATTAGATAGGGTAACAGTTTGGGTGTGTGTTTATTGGTCAGGCTGGTCGTGGCCGTGGAGTAGTGCCACGTGGCCGAATCGGTGGCCCGCAAGCCCGTGGGCCAGTCAGGGGGGGACGCAACCCCGCAGCTTCAGGGGTCCGTGGGGTCCAGCGGCTGGCCGCTCGTGGGGGGGTCCGCGCCAAGGGAAGTTTACCAGGTGAGGATGGTCTGTATCTCCACAATAACTCATCTTTTACACTGTTTACATTTAATTCCCACTACATTTACATAGACACACACATATACACATGTTTACTATTCTGAATTCATTATAACACATTTTGAAAGTTGCCTTGACATCGTTGTATCTGTAACTATCATCGTGTAAAAATTCGATGTATTGTATATTAATAATGGAATTATTAAAACATCATTGATAAATATCACCAAAAGATGTAAAAAAATGATCATTGTTCGGATATATAAAAATATAAGCATCGGTCATTCAAGTATTAGGTCTAACAAAATAATACCTATATATAAAACAAAACAAAATAATACCTACATA